AAATTTGTCAGATTAGTTTGCTGTGTCTAGACTGCCTTTGAGACCGTATGGCAGCCAAGAAATGAAAATTACCCCTTAATGGCATACCATTTGAAAAAGTAGACATCCAAGGGTATTCAAAATGGGGTATGGCCAGTCTTTTGTAGTAGCCACTTGGGCACAAATGCTAGCCAAAGTTAGTGTTCCGTTTTTTTTTTTGCGTTTTTCACATAAAAACTGTACTTTTACTGATAATATAAATGTCTGTATATAGTCTACTGCCTTGAAACCCTCCTAGTTCTGTTCAGTGGTGTCTCACAAGCACCACGGTACCCCCCATGTATAGGTTTTATGGGGTTTTTGAAAGTTACAGGGTCTTATATACGGCTTATCAATTTATGCTTTTTCACATTCAAATTTGTCAGATTAGTCTGATGTGACAAGGCCGCCTTTGAGACCGTATGGCAGCTAAGAAATGAAAATTACCCCTTAATGGCATACTGTAGAATATTGCATATTCTGTATGTTCCTATTCAAATACATATTAAGGTGTGGCTGTCTAATGGGTTAAACAGAACAGATGGTGTTTGCTACTCTGTAATATGAGGTCTCTGGAATTTCCTGTATAAGAGATTTGAGGCGGTCTTTATATAGGGAACTTCCTTATATGGCAGGGTCTAAACTAAACATTATGACGTCATTTGGGGTATATAGAGTCAAGGACAAAGGATTACGGGTCTCTTCCTGCTACGATCCGTTTGCTCTCCTCTCTGATGTCAAGACGACTCTCTGTAACATCGTTAAGAATTACCATCTGTTAAGTATATATAACTGTTTCCTGTTGAATGTAGAATAAATACTCATTTTTTATAAAGAACGTCAGATTCCGTATTACTAATTTTCAATAATATAGACATATATTATTGTGGCGAGCATTTGGCCCAAGACTATATATACAAAAGACGTATATATATCAATCAACTGAAGATAAGAAGAAATATCTATATATATATACATAAAAGACTTATTCAACTAAAGAAAAACACAGCCAGATATTACACATACCATTTGAAAAAGTAGACATCCCAGGGTATTCAAAATGGGGTATGGCCAGTCTTTTGTAGTAGCCACTTGGGCACAAATGCTAGCCAAAGTTAGTGTTCCGTTTTTTTTTTTTTGCGTTTTTCACATGAAAACTGTACTTTTACTGATAATATTAATGTCTGTATATAGTCTACTGCCCTGAAACCCTCCTAGTTCTGTTCAGTGGTGTCTCACAAGCACCACGGTACCCCCCATGTATAGGTTTTATGGGGTTTTTGAAAGTTACAGGGTCATATATACGGCTTATCCATTTATGCTTTTTCACAATGGAATTTGTCAGATTAGTTTGCTGTGTCTAGGCTGACTTTGAGACCGTATGGCAGCCAAGAAATGAAAACTACCCCTTAATGGCATACCATTTGAAAAAGTAGACATCCAAGGGTATTCAAAATGGGGTATGGCCAGTCTTTTGTAGTAGCCACTTGGGCACAAATGCTAGCCAAAGTTAGTGTTCTGTTTTTTTTTTGTGTTTTTCACATAAAAACTGTACTTTTACTGATAATATTAACTTCTGTATATAGTCTACTGCCCTGAAACCCTCCTAGTTCTGTTCAGTGGTGTCTCACAAGCACCACGGTACCCCCCATGTATAGGTTTTATGGGGTTTTTGAAAGTTACAGGGTCTTACATACGCCTGTCCATTTTTGGTTTTAAACATTGAAAATTGGCAAAGCGATTTTCTGGGCCTATCTTGCCTTTGAGAGAGCATGGCAGCCTGGGTAAAATTATTTTCACTATTATGGCATACCATTTTCAAAAGTAGGCAACCCAGAGTATTTCAAATGGTGCATTTTAAGATGTTTGGTCTAACCACATTATCAGAAATGAAGGGCCCACATAGCGGTAATAGATTAATTTGTGCATTTTTCCACACATGAAATCACTTTTCACAGGACATTTCCTATTCCTGGTATGAGTTATTGCAACAAAGCCTCACTATTTTTTTTTAACATTGTCTCCTGAATATACCAGTACCCCCATGTACCAGATTTTCTGTTTTTTGGGGAAGTCACAGGGACAAATATATTAGATGTCCATTTCAAAATTGGAAATTTGGCAAAGTGATTTTCTGGGCCTATCTCGCCTTTGAGAGAGCATGGCAGCCTGGGTAATAACATTTCCACTATTATGGCATACCATTTTCAAAAGTAGGCAACCCAGAGTATAACAAATGGCATAATTTGAGATGTTTGGTCTAACCACATTATCAGAAATGAAGGGCCCACATAGCGGTAATAGATTAATTTGTGCATTTTTCCACACATGAAATCACTTTTCACAGGACATTTCCTATTCCTGGTATGAGTTATTGCAACAAAGCCTCACTATTTTTTTTTAACATTGTCTCCTGAATATAACAGTACCCCCATGTACCAGATTTTCTGTTTTTTGGGGAAGTCACAGGGACAAATATATTAGATGTCCATTTCAAAATTGGAAATTTGGCAAAGTGATTTTCTGGGCCTATCTCGCCTTTGAGAGAGCATGGCAGCCTGGGTAATAACATTTCCACCATTGTGGCATACCATTTTCAAAAGTAGGCAAGCCAGAGTACAACAAAATGCAGACCTTAAGATGTTTGGTCTAGCCATTTTAACAGAAATGCTGGGCCCATGTAGCGATACCTACTTTTAGTTTTGTCTTTTTAATCACATAAATTGCATTTTCACTAGAAATGTCATAATTCTGGTATTAGTTAGTACACTAAAACCTCAGTATTTCAATTTAACACTGTCTTCTGAATATAACGGTACCCCCACGTATCATTATTTCAGATTTTTTCCGATAAGTACAGGGCAAAATATATTAGATGCCCTTTTAGCTTGTAAGTTTGGCAAAGTGACTTTCTGAGCCTATCTCGCCTTTGAGAGAGCATGGCAGCCTGGGTAATAACATTTCCACCGTTGTGGCATACCATTTTCAAAAGTAGGCAAGCCAGAGTACAACAAAATGCAGACCTTAAGATGTTTGGTCTAGCCATTTTAACAGAAATGCTGGGCCCATGTAGCGATACCTACTTTTAGTTTTGTCTTTTTAATCACATAAATTGCATTTTCACTAGAAATGTCATAATTCTGGTATTAGTTAGTACACTAAAACCTCAGTATTTTGATTTAACACGGTCTTCTGAATAGAACAGTACCCACATGTACAATGTTTCAAGGTTTTTATTATATCACAGGAATAGAACAGTACCCCCACATACACTTTGATCTGGAGGCAGAGAGAGGCAGAGAGATGTTTTATCTCACATAGGGAGTTACTGTGTGAAAAGCTGAGAAGTTAAGAAAAAAAACCTGTGATTTTATTAACCCTTTCAATGCTAATCGCAGCATTAACCCTGTGATTAGTTTTTTGCTTTTTTTTGTGAAGGCACATTTCAAATACTACAATTGTAGTATTTTGAGTTGTTTGGTGTAGGCACTTTATAATGGCTATCGTAAACAGGGACAGGCCAAGGTCAGGGGAATCCAGAAGTTAGAGTAGTTGGTAAAACAAGCCAATGGGTCGGTACAGGCAGCTAACAAAGCATAGTCAGGACAAACCGAGGTCAGTAATCCAGGGAAATCAAGCAAACACACTGCCAAAGTCCCATACAGAGTGATTTAGAAGTTCAGCTCTGTATGGTAGACTTTGAAACAGTCTGTTATGCAGAGGCCAGGTTTAGATGGACAAGTTGGGCAATAATAACTAGAGTCCTTTCGGACTCCTTTCTTGTAGCAAACACGGCACTTTTTTTGGGGAATTTCTTTTACTAGCGGTGGCAGGGATTCGGGAAGGGAAGTGTTTGCCACAAAGTCTTTGGAGATCTTCTGATCCCAAAGTGGGATTGGGGGGCTGGGTAAATAATAAATGTGACAAAAGGCTTAGAGTGAAGTCTAGGAAAGGGCAGAGCCTACCTATGACCTCTTTTTTATAGAGGACATAGGCATTGAAAATTGCAGCCTGGCTCACGTAGATTGCAATTTTCTTGTACCAGGTCCTAGTTTTCCGGTTCACTAGATAGGGCTGTATGCATTGGTCAGCCAAGTCTACTCCCCCCATAAACTTGCTGTAGTCTACAATGCACTTCGGCTTTTCCAGATGCTCAGTGCTACTTCTCACAGACACTGGCACTGTACTTTCGTCATGCATTGTAGACAGCATGTATACATCCTTTCTATCTGTGAAACGAAGGGCAAGCAACTCATCCTGGCGGAGGGCTGAAGAGGAACCTCTACTGCTTCTGCCTCTTGCCAGGGTTTGGGGGAAACCCCTGTCATTCTTTCTCACTGTGCCACAGGCTAGGGTTTCAAAGTAATATAAATTTTTAAATAACTGTATACTGGTATAATAATTGTCAACCCATAGCCTATATCCCTTATTTAACAAGGGAAGGATTAGATCCCAAACAATCTTTCCACTTGTACCCACAGAATCAGGACATCCTGGTGGGTCAAGATGGCTATCCTTCCCCTGGTAAATGCGAAACGCCCATGTGTAACCAGTACAGGATTCGCATAATTTATAAAATTTAACGCCATATCGGGACCGCTTAGAAGGAATGTATTGCTTAAATAGCAGTTGACCTTTGAATTTCATAAGGGACTCGTCAATTGAAATATCTTTATCGGGGATATAATTTTCAGAAAATTTGTCTGACAGCAGTTGGATAAAGGGCAGAATTTTATAGAGCCTGTCAAACAGTGGGTCATTTCTAGGGGGACACAGTGAGTTGTCATTAAAATGAAGGAATCGCAGCAGTTGCAGATAGCGATCCCTCTGCATAACCTCAGGGAAAAGAGGGGTAGCCAGGATGCGTTGCTTGCTTCAGTAGGACCTGATACTGGGCTTTTTAACTATACCCATCACTAGGGTTAAAGCCCAAAACCGCTTCATCTCTGCGACATCCGTGGGTCTCCACATATTCCTGCGATTATGATGGGACCCCGGATGTGCAGAGAGATACTGCATAGCAAACAAATTTGTTTGCTGAGCCATGAGCTCAAATACATCATCCGACATAAATAGCTCAAAAAAACGAATTGGCTCGCAGTCGTCCACTGTTACAGTGATGCCAGGTGTAACAGTGAACGGCGGTATTTCTGGTGCCATCATGTTTGAAGGCACCCAGTCTCCCTCTGGCATTGGGCATTCTGAGCGTCCTCTTGTGAGTGGTGGTGGGGCACCATCACTTGAGGTCTCACTCAGAGGCTCAATGTCAGAGGCAGTGATAGTGTCACTGTCTTGCAGAGTGTCACTATCACTGCCTGCCAGAATGGCATATGCCCAGGCCCAGACTGGCCATCGGGCACACCGGGCAAATGCCCGGTGGGCCGCGATGGCCGTGGGGCTGAGGCCGGAAGGGAGATCACAGAATCTCCCCTGCCAGCCCCTGCAGGGCCAGAGCTATCCGAGCGCCAGCCCTGCTGTGTGCCTCCACGGGCCGGTGGGGAGATCACAGATCTCCCTCACCGGCCCACAGGCACTGTCACAGGCGGCCGCCGGCTGGGGAGGGAGGGAGGCAGGAGAGAGGACCCGGCAGAGCTCTAACAAGCAGCTCCGCCGGGTCCTCTCGCGGGATTCTGAGCGTTGCCGCGGTTACCACGGCAACGCTCAGATCTCGCGAGAGTGAACTCTAGCCTGCAGGCTGGAGTTCACTCTCAACCCTGGACCACCAGGGAAGCATGACAGCATGCCCCCCCCCCCACCTCTTGGCAACACGGCTCCCCCCCTGCCAGGCTAAAGGTGAGGGGGGGGGGCATAACTTTTTAATTTTTTTTTATTAATTATGAATTATTATAATATTATAATTATTACTAAAATAAAAATATATATATATTTAAAATAATTACCCTAACAGCCCCCCCAGACACACACAGTCCCCCCCCAGACACACACAGTCCCCCCAGACACACACCCCAAGACACACACAGCCCCCCAAGACACACACACACAGCCCTTAAGACCAGCCCCCAGACACACACACACAGCACCCAGACACACACACACAGCACCCCCACACACACACACACAGCACCCCCAGACACACACACACAGCACCCCCAGACACACACACAGCACCAACAGACACACACACAGCACACAGCCCCCCAGACACACACACACAGCACACACACAGCACACAGAGACACACACACACAGCACCCAGACAGACAGCACCCTCACTCCCACACATATACAGCACATATATATTATATAAATTAACCCTCAGTGAGTTAACAGACAAATAAAATTAGAAACCCAGAATGTGACGGCAGATAAAAACACCCTCACACACAGCACTCCTCTTACACAAACACGCTGCGCACCTCACACATACAATACGTCCAAATATATTTTATATATATATATATATATATATATATATACACACACACACACTACAGCACCCCTCACACTGCACCACTACACACATTACGCTCCAGATACACGCTAGATCCCTTACCTTATATGCACTCTTAATCCTCTATACACACACACAATCTTCTATACACACTCTGGGTCCTTTACACACTAGATCTCTTACACACACACTGCAAACACATACAACATTCTCTAAACACACCCTCTCTACACACAGTAGTGTGTGTGTATAAGTGACACACACTACTGCCCGTATGCACACACTCGCTACATCCCCTATAACACTATGCCCCTATACACGCACTCTCTACAGCCCCTAGCCACACATATTACACCACAAAATTGACCTATTTACATAATACCACACCACACTCTACACACAGGCAATCCCACAAGCATGCGCCAAACACATGCACCATACACTTTCCTGGCCCTTTTGTCCTCTGGTATCCCACTTGTGGAGACACCAGAGACAATTTAAAAGCAAACACAGCGCAAGCATGTTATTACATTTGCTTGCGCTGCGCAGAACAAATACAGGGCCTTTTTCTAATGCCAGAGCTCTTCAGCGGGGCTCTGCGCATTGAACCAACATGCTCACTTTGAGAGGGGGTGTACTTGTCATTAGTGATGACAAACACACCCTCTCTGGCCCCGCCCCCTTCTCGGGGGGCCGCTCTAATTGAAAAATGCCCGGGCCTAATTTTTTTCCCAGTCCGGCCCTGCATACGCCTCCTCGGCTGAGTAGCTGTTGCAGTGTAAGCATGCAGAAGCCAAACACAGAAATATTGGACACAGGTCTTCAGGAAGTAACAGGCCTTTATTCACATTACCGATCGGGTCTCAGATGAACTCCTGTTCCAACATTCTGAGAGACCAACACATAGTGTACATTCCTTATATAGCACTATAACTCCTCCCATTAATAGCTACACCCACATACACCTTTAACCAATCAATGAGCAGAATATAGACTTGTACATCTAGTCAAACCACATGGCTCATCCAAGACAAAAGGAAATAAGTGCAATTCCAGTTCCTGCATTCCTGCACATGCTCAGTACACTGATGACAGTATCCTAGCTACATGTAGCTAACCAACTGACACAACATACACATATGCCACATGGAGATTTTGGCCTACTAAATTTTGACCATGCTGGAATCCCATCACATTCCCCCCTTTTGATGCCTCTGATATAACATTATTCCAGATGCATCACCAATCACAGTTTTACCTACATCTCTCAAGTAGCCATTGAACCAGAGTAGACCTTGTAAGCATCTTAAAAACTCCTTCAACATTCTTCATCCTGAATATATTCTCTTCGGGCTAGGGGATCATATCTTCCAGATAGCCATTACATGGGCAGCTGTCTTTCTCTCTATAGTACTCTCTATAATACTACGTAGGGACCTTACCACTAATGGAATTAGACAGGGCAGGAAAAGACATAAGAATATGATAAACACTACTCCTCCTACTAATGTCTTAATTCCTCCAAGCTGCTCATACCAACTTCCAAACCAACTACTTAGGTTATACCCATTCCAGACCTGAGTAGGTACATGCACAAATTTAACCATGTGGCTTGTAAGTTCAGCCACTGTCTGCCCTTCATCATCTATGTGCAGACAACAGTTACTTAGATTAAACCTTCCGCATACACCTCCTTCTACTGCTAGTAAGTAATCAAGGGCTAACCTGTTCTGGTATATGGCTGACCACATCTTGGTATTTTGCTTAGCTAGAAGATTAAGCGCTTGAGCTGTCTCATTAGTAATAATCTCAACTACCGCCTGTAGTCTAATAATGCGGTTGAGCATATATATCGGAGTTCTATATCCATATGTGCCATCTTCTGCCCAAGTAGCAGGTCCATAATAATTAATAATACGTTGAGGGGGTCACTCATTATCTTCCCAGCTACCTATATTCAAGGATGCTCTCTCCCTTTTATGATTTACATCGTACACCTTAACTCCCAAGGTCTCTCCTGTTTCGATTGGCAACAAGAAGAAGGATGGCTTTGGCATACCTAATACACATGCAAGGATGTTGTTCTTCTGATCCTCACTTTCCTTCACAGAGATCCCTTCAAGATACTCTGGCTATGACACGTAGGCAGGTGGTCAGGCTTTATTATGGCCGTCAAAACACCTACTTGATGATCTTTGTAGACTTTTAACTAGAATGTCTCGATATCCCCTCGTCACTCCGACTGAGTTGCACGCTTCAACCGGGTCCTGCAAGGATTCTCAGGATCTGGAGTAGCTTGCCAAGAGTCTGCCACTGGTTTAACCTTAGATTGATGAATCCAAGGAGTCACTTCCGCCACCTTTACAGCTTTTGGGGTAGATAAAAGAACAACATACAAAGGCTAATAGGATACACCCCGAGCTTTAACTCAATATGTATTGGTGGGATATTAAAGCTTAAAGCTTCGATAATAGATCTTGTCCTAAAAGTTGAATCGCACACTCTGGCATATATAGGAACTAATGCTTCACCACATGGCCTCCCAGAATACAAGTGCGACTCTTAAGAACCGGTCTAGCTGCACTTCTCCCAGTAGCTCCTATCACAGTTATAGTCTTCCCCGAAGGCGGAGCCACCATCTTAGTCACCACAGAATGTTCAGCACCTGTGTCGATCATGAAAGAACTTCTCTTTCCCCCTATTGCTACATCGACCATAGGCTCCGCTTGACCAAGTGGGATGGAGCCCGGTCGGTATCAATAGTCTTCCATGATAGTGTCAGCCAGACCCACAAAATCTCTATCCTCTCTTTCTCTAGGTCTCTGTGTGGGTAGATAGTATCTGTCTCCTTGAACACTTCCTCTACTATTCCCATCATTCCCTCTAAAACGTCCTCTTCCTCTATAACTACCACTATAACCTCCTCATACCCTTCTCTCTCCTTGTCTATCACCTTCATACTGCTCTCTCTGTGGACACTCACTCTCACTCAACTCTATTCAGGAGTTTTAGTGTCAGATTTCAGTTCGGGCTCGCTCAACTCTATTCAGGAGTTTTAGTGTCCGATTTCAGTTCCACGCGATCGACGCCCAAACACCACTGCCTGCATTCTCGCGAACAAGATGGCAGACAACACAGCTCCCACGCGTTCGTACATACGAACGTCGGCAACCCAGCGACACAATTAGAACTCACACTGATTGAAGTGTCAGGAGAGGTTAACAAGGGTCAATAAGCTCAGAGGTGGTCTGCAGTTCGTGGGTTGGTTCGGTTCCCGAACAGTCCAAGGAAATCCCATGAACCAAGTCTTTTAATAGCCTTTTAGCATGGTCCATAGTCAGTGGGCAGGGGACTAGCCTCCACACTCCTCCAGGAGCCCATGGCGAACGTCCAGGCAAAGTGGTGTTCGTAACATATCTCCCCCCTCCTGGAGAGACTAACTAGACCCAGACC